CTGGACACATGATCCTGACATACTAATTAACTTGTATATAGCAAATATGTAAAACCCCACCAAAGAACTGGTGTCAAGCTGAATGTTTGCCTATACCATTTTGCCAGTACTATTCATCCAGTGCTAAAGAAGGGTCCATATTAAATAGTACAGTCAATTTAAATAACTCATAGCTGACAATAGCTAATTGCCAGTGATGATAATCAATCTCTGTCCTATTTAGCTGGTTAAAATAGAATCTTTTGTCCTATCACCAAGCATTTCTCTTTATCACACTGCCTAGAAATATGCAAATGAGACCACATAACTCACTTTTTCAAATTTCCCCCAATGAATGAATTAGCATATTTAATGTGATCTGTATTCCTTGCAAAGGAACAGACTGGCAGGTCAGAAACACCACCCTCACTCCATTGAATTTTACACTTAAAACAGGTAAAGAGGTGGCATGCAAATTGCATCTCAATAAATCTGTTTTTAAAATTTTCAGTAAAAAAAGAATGCCTCTAATACTGTGATATCTTTCTGTTGCTAATGAGATAAGCTGTCTCAAGCATCATGTTTTATGTGTGGACCTCAGAAAGGACATCTGCTAACGCAGAGGTAACTACTGGGTTAACACAATTGCCATTAGGATGGGACAATAAACAGTTTTTTTTTTTAATTCCTTAAAATACCCAGGTTGGTCTGTATCATATCACCATGATGAGGATTGATGTTTTGACTGCCAAGTGCCTGTCTTAGTTATTATGACTTGAGTTCCATAAATTACCCAGATAATGGTATTAATTCTCCACTCTCAATGGAAAGACTGGGCCCCAGTGACTAATAGTCCTGGGCTCTGCTCCATTGGCTGAAGAGTAAATGTCACAAGCTTATGTGCCTACATACAGCAGGTAAAAATGAGTTCCCTCTTCCTGAGTCATTTGTTCAGCCAATGTTCTGACAAATCCACCACACATGAGCCCTTGTACTTAGCACTGTGAGTTACAAGATGATGGGGTCAGTCCTTACGTTTGGAGGGTTTACAATTTGTTTAAGAAATCAAACTGGAACATTTTTAAAAGAGATTGGAGATTTTGATATGTTAAAATTTACATTGTAAAGCAACTGCAAATAATTAGACATTTATTATCTATTATTTTAAAAATCCAGCAATCTGAACTTCCTAACAAAGACTAAGATTGGGTATGTTGCATTTGTCAGAAGGAAGATCTAGAAGGAGAATAGCAAGGTCAGACAAGCACTCAGGAAGGGGAGGCAGTTCCCTGCACAGTCACTCCTTCCAACCTGGCTCAGTTCTCAAGCCCCCACCCCCACCTACCCCGCACATTTCCTTTTTTCACCACGTCATTTCCATCTGAGCATGGAGGAAGCAGAGCCTATGACTGTCAGTCACTAGGGCCCAGTCTCTCCATTGAGAGTGAAGTGGAGAATTAACACCATTATCTAGGTAATTTATGGAACTCAAATCATAATAACTAAGAGCAGAACAGTTGCTACAAGCTCAATTCACTTTATAGACTTCCTACCAAGGATTGGTCTGCTATGCTTCAAGTACCATCGGGTTATGCTGGGAGGGCCACATGATGAAAAGAACAAAGTCTTTGACCTCTATGACCTTCTGGATCATTGGTTAGCTTTTCAATTCATTTGCCCTGTGTAGACATGGCTTAAAAAGATAATGTATTTTAGTCTCTGGGGCAAAGAAGGGTATTTCATTTATGGGGCCTGGTTATTATTCATTTATATCTAGAGTGCCTGGTAAAAGCAAGAATTCCAAAAATATGTATTGAATAAATCAATGAAGCAATTGATATGCTGTATAGATAAAAATGGGTTACCCCAAATCCTTGCATTTTTATACATCTTCATAGCCAGGCATTTTCTTGTTTAGTTTCTCATTTTATCCCCAAGTCAACCCAGAGTAAGGTGAGCAAGGTAATGATCTCGATCTTATTTTAGGTTGAACTTCAGAGACCCAAGACCACACATTTAGCAAGTTATAGAGTGAATGACAAATCCATGTGTACCTTATAGGAATTATAAGCTCTATCCAGCTTATAATCATTTAGGAACAACAGAAAAATGGGTTAGGGGCCTGACACACACCAACGGTTCCTGGGCCAGAGAGACTTGGTAGGTCAAAGCGAAAGTCCAACCACATCTCCCTTTGCAGTGGGAAAGCAATTAAGAGAATTCAGCATACTAGTGGCAGCTGGGGAGCTGGCAGATTCCTCAAGAGAAGGACTGTAAGCAATGTCATAGGCCAAGAAGATGGATGGGGCCCATTTATGCACCGGGGCTGACATATAAATGGAATCCTGCCCGGTTTGACTGCCCTTTCTTCAAAGATGTCATTGACAGATGAGTATCTAAATGTTTTTGTTTAAAAATGAAAACAAGAAAAAAAAGAAAAAAGAATAAAACAAAACAAAACAAGAATCTCTTTCTACTCCAAATAGACACATGTAGCCGGCGTGCATGAGAATGTCCAATGGGGCATGGGAGCCATGCAGGCCTTTCAAAGGAGTCCTTGATAATTATTTGCAAAATTGTTCACCTTTCTTTTCAGATAAATTTCAATTTAACGCAAGGGTTTCATTGAAGCCCCAGATTACTGCCAGTTGGCTGTATCCCATCTGCTGGTGGGGGACAAGCCTGCTCACCTGCCAAAACAAGGCTTCTTCCCCAATTAAAATGGCCCCTTTTATTTTTAGAGTGGTAAACAATGTCTACTTAATTTGAGGAAAACACGCAGAAGAAAGTTACGGAACCTAATCACGCAGTGACATGATGGGTGAGTCAGAGTCCGAGAAACTTGGGGGGAGTGCTGGAGGGGCCACTCTGCCTGTGGAGACAGAAAAAGGTCCTCCTGAGGTCATTGCCTTCATGGTGCTGCCTCCGTGGCAGCCTTCAAGATCAAACCGAGCAAATATGTTTTATCTTATGTTTACCAAACATACTATAAGAAGGAAGATTAATAATCACCAGTTTTAAAAGGTAAGAACTAAATACAGTTCCTCAGATAACCTTGTGTCTTTATCTTGTTCTGGAATTATCTTTTGAAAATGGGGACACTTATCTTTTGCTCAGTTGACACTTACCAAGTAGCAATAAGCAGGAGGACGTCTTTTCCACCCACTCAAGGTGGGCCAGCCCTGCCTGTGGTCTCTGGCCAGGTGTCTATCTCAACAGCAGATCAACAAACCCTCTGGAGAAGTCACGTTCTTCTCCAGACTGGATGTGCAATGCCCAGCCTGAGTCCATTTCATCCTTACTCAGCCAAACAGACATTTATGAAATGCAAGATATTTAGAAACTTTTGGGCATAGTTTACAACTTGGACAGAAGTGGCTTGGATGGGCACAGTCACCTTAGGGTCAACACAGAGCAGTCCTCGTGATGACTGAGTGAGAAACTCAAGGAAATGATTTTAAAAAGAAATTTCAGACAGACAGACAACCTAGGTCAGACCCTGCCACCGACAGGTGTATGTGGCACCAGCTGCGGGAGATAACGCACCCTAGCTGGCTGGGTCAAGCCTGGAGGTTGGCAAGTCTGACCTGTTTTAAGCACAAATAAATCTTGCTGAGTTAAAATAATGATCCTATCTCTTACTTTCCTCAAGGAACATGAGACACGAAGTGACAAATTTTGGACAGCAGCTGTGAATCCTCAGAGTCCTTATCTCCTGGCTGATTAGTTGCAGGTCTGCCTCGTTTAAGATGAGCTACAGGTTAGATACATAAGACTGTCTTCCTTGCTATGCCCAATAACCCATAAACATCCAGGGAAACTGTCCCCAAATCTTTCAATGCCTGCTAATATAATCATGATGCATAGGCTAAGTCGGAAATACAGTGAGGGGAGAAAACCCAGTGTTTCCCAGCCAAAGAACAATCACTTCAAACATGCCTGCTCTATTTGCAGTCCTTCCCACAAACCTTTTGGAAGACACAGAAGTTGATGTTCAAAGTCACCCTCCATACAAACTATTGACTCCCTTCGGTAAATCTAGCCAATGTCAGGATGATGCTTGGAAGCTCTCACCCATCCATCAACCGATGGATTCAACAATGATTTATCAAAAATAGATGCTGTGCCATTTTTCTCAGCAGCTGTCCTCCCAGGAGGGCTTGTGGCAGTTTCTGGGCCTTTAAGCCAGACACCAGTGAAAGCCCCCAGCCAGCCACAGATACCTACTGACACTCCTGAGAGAGAGAGATGGGAAAAGCCAGAGACAGGATTTTTGTTGTGTTTTTTTTGTGTTTGTTTTTTTTACAATTTAAGACTCTCAATCATAAAATGTTCTGGCTTTTTCAAACCCGGCACCTGCAGATACATTTAACTCTAATTCCTCCAGGGGATTAAGGTGATGAAAATCTCAGGCTCGCTGGAGAAGGGCACATTCCGGCTTGTATTTGCCTAAAACAAACCCATAATCTCCTCATATGCCCACTGTGATCCTAAGGATGTGGAAGTGGGAACGATGCTCACTTTATTATTTTTTTTATTATTTTTTTATATATATTTTATTGATTTTTTACAGAGAGGAAGGGAGAGAGATAGAGAGTTAGAAACATCGATGAGAAAAAAACATCAACCAGCTGCCTCCTGCACATCTCCTACTGGGGATGTGCCCGCAACCCAGGTACATGCCCTTGACCGGAATCGAACCCGGGACCCTTCAGTCCGCAGGCCGACGCTCCATCCACTGAGCCAAACCGGTTTTGGCAGGCGCTCACTTTAAATGCACATGCGACCTACTGCCGGGAAAGCCTTGGAGTTTATGATTACAAGTCCGTCCTGTGTTCACATCAAATATAACCAGCTGTCAGAGCCCTGGGTTGGAGGAGATGACACCCGGCTGAAAGGGGAGTGATTTAAAATTGTTTTTCCTTTGAAAACCAACTTTCCGGTACAAAGAAGTAGTTGAGTGGCCAGATAAGTGGATGCTTCACTTGCTTTATATTCATTCATTGAAATCCACTGCTTACCTGCCACCACGGGGGATTTCCGCTCATCCAGGAGCTGGATGGAGGTACTCGCTGTCACCACATTGCTTTTGTTGACTGTTCCTGCAAGAAGAAAAACCAGAAATGGAGGGAGTTAGAGTGCACATGTTAAGAAAGTCATCGTACTGGCTCACAGTCACCGATTCTGCAGATGGTGCTGGGGCTGGCATCCCAGAGCCCAGAGCTGGCCTGCTCCCTGCACAGGTGCCGGGCAGCCAGTCCGCCCCATAGGAGGCATCAACACCCAGTGAATCCTGACCGCCTGCACTGGGAGCATCCAGCCTCTTCCCACCAGGATGACTGACCACCGTGGCGGGGCCACCTTTTCTCTAATTTGTGCTTATGAATTGCAGCATTTACTTGCAGCGGTAATCATATTCATACTGTGTTTCTGAATATAGCCAGGGAGAGCTGCATGAGATGAAGTTTTAAAATTATTTTTCGAGTTGAGGACTTCAGGTCTGATTTATTGGTTGCAACTTGACTGACTTATAACATTCTAACTTTAAGTCCAACTTTTTCTGAGCAAAACCATTCTAAACAGGGATAGAGCTGGAATACAATCCCGACTCCAAACTCTTCTGACTGTGGTAACAGTAAGGCATCGCTATGAAGAGATTTCCAATCACTCACAATGGTTCAATGCCCATGGAGTAAAAGATGCTGAGCCCACATGCCCAGCCAGTTCCTGCCGCACAAAAGGTGTGCAATGAATGGGAGCCAAATGGAATCAACTGCCTTCGGAAAGAGGGAGAAGGCAGACCTGCATTTGAACAGCCCTGTGACCGAAGCAATAGAGAACTTCGCCTGGCCCCAGTCTCAGCTGGAATGAGAACCAGCTTCCTCCCCAGTGTCTGCAGGCCCTCAGCACACAGTCAGAAAGCGAGAGGAGCTCCCCAGCAACGCTGGCGATGCTGAACATTTTCCCAAGTCGAAAGGGGCCACGAAATCTCTGACGATATTATGTCATCCAGAACTTTAGCAGGAAAAAGGTAAATCCCTTTGCATCTATGAATTCATTGAAAGTTCAGTGAAAACCCCACTTGCCAAAAGCCTTAATTAATCAGAATTCTTTGTAGGAATAATTACCGAGCAAACTGAAATGAGAGGCTTTCTCTCTCTCTCTCTCTCTTTCTCTCTCTCTCTCTCTCTCTCTCTCTCTCTCTCTCTCTTCCTATGCACACACACACACACACACACACACACACTCTTTCGGGGGATGCTCACAGCTCCTCTCTGTCCAGCTTTGGGCAAAAGCTATTTTGTCACAAAGAATAACTTCAAGATTCCAGTTCAGATGATCTAGGAAGCTAAATTCTGTTTTTTCTTGATAGGACCATAAAAAAGGAAGTTTTACAAGACTGCACGATAAAAGGAGACATTATTGTGAGGTGTGCAGCAGAATGAGAGCATCCACGGTCTTAGTTGATATTTTCAGCAATAAAGTGTGGTGCTGATAACAAAAAGAGAGAGCTCTAGTCATCTGGAAGCTTACGGTTGAGAACACACATGTGCATGGGTGTGGCTAACACAGGCCTGTCAGCAAAGGAGCCCAGACTCCAAGAATCTCAGTTCAAATGGAACCTAAAGGATAATCGTGTTGCCTATCCCACCCAGCAAGGGAGTTTCTATAATAAAATTTCACCTTTTCTTAAATATCTTCATTAATGAGGGACCCTCTTTTTAATGAGTCCATTCAACTAATTATTAGACAACTCCTGTCAACATGACTTATGCAGGTTTTGAGAGAACTTTTTCTGAGGGTTTTTCATTCGTGGAAATGAGGGGCTTTGACGCGAAGCATTACAGAGCCTCCACTGGGGCTGACTTAGGCACACTTGTATGAGGTTCATACAGAGGCCCTGATATAAAACATAAGTACCGACTGAATGTCCAGAAACGTCCAAGTTCACGGAGCCGGCTCACATTCATCTCTGACGTTTCTACGATGCACAGAGCCTTGCACTCACACTACTGCACACGTGAGACAAGAACACGCCAAGGACAATTGGAGAGATTTCTAGATTGGCTTGCTTCTAAGCTGGTTGAAATAAGACAGTGTGCAGTCCTTTTTTGGTGACCTTGTCTTTTTTTTATTGCATCATTAAATCTTAGGACTGGAAAAATCACTGGCTCCATGCCCCGCAATGGCCACTGCAGCCTCTGTCAGGAGGGCTGAGACTGTGCTAAGTCTGCATCCTTACTCCTGCGCGTCCACTTACATCGGTGCCCTTCTCCTGGGGAACATGGGCCTCCAGAGTGATGTGACTTGCTGAAGGTTTTGACAAAGGATGCTATGCCTGCCCAAACATCTCAAAGTAGGGCCATGACTGCATTACAGAAAATCTACTGAGAAGTTTGCATTCAAATTCCACCTGGTACAAAATAACCCTGCTTTTGAAACCTGGTTAAGCCAAAAAAAAAAAGCTTCATTTTTATTTTATTTTATTTGGGGCTGTTGCACATATAGAACAGGTCACTACTTCAGCATTGGGCTGACAGTCAGCATTGGCTCCCAAGGCTGAACTTGGCTCTGCTCAGCATTCAGGCCGATCCCCCCTACTCTGCAGGCAACGCCCAGGCCTCCCACGAGGACACCCACCTGTGCTGAAGGGGATGGAGTAGACGAAGCTCCCGGGAATCTGCTCGGCAGCTCTTCGGTACCAGAGAGGGAAATGGTCTGCATTAAAGATGTTCTCCTTGTCTCCAGCTTTCAGGAAGTCCCTGGAAATGGGAAGGAGTAAGAAGAGCATGACCACTCAGCAAGGAGAAGCTGGACATGGGTGCATCCCAACAGCCTTTGTTGGATAAGAACAGGGTTGGCCACTGAGAACAGAACTCATAATTGTAGGCATTTCTAGCTTCCCAAAGCAGCTTAAGACTAAATTTTTTTGGCCCTCACAATAACTCAGAGAGATCATTACCCCCATTTTCCAGATGCACAGAGTGAAGGGAATGAGTGAGAGAGCCGGCTGCTCATCCCAGCAGTCCTGAGCTCATGTGGTCGTCTTTCAACTGTCGCGATAGCAAAGGTAACAGACTGGCAAGGTGCCACATTTGGTGGCTGTTATTTTCTTGTTCATTTGTTTTCATCTCAAAACAAACATCAGCCTTCCTCTCTGAGCATTGGACAATCTACCCCTTTGCCTCTCTGGGTCCTAAAGGGTGTATATCTGGACACTTCTACTTCTTCCTAGGAGCTTGCCCTCTGCAAAAATACTGTTCAAGGGTAAAGGGCGAAAGAGGGTTTGGAAAAAAATCAAGTCACAACTATAGTCAACTTCCAAAATGACAAACTTGAGATGCTGGGGGCGAGAGTCCTTGAATAGGAATTAGAAGCAGGTCCACAAAACGTCCACAAATTGATGGACCTGCCACACAGCAGACTTGGTTTCATGAGGTCATCGGTGGGGTGAGGTTCTCCGGGAACCTCTGAACTCCCACACGTGCACTTTGCAAACTTTCTGAATCACAGGCTCTGTTTGCCTCTGGCCTAATAAGGTCTCTTGCTTCAGAGAAAAGAAATGGTGCAAACTTATTAATGGGCTCAGGAATGCCATCCCAGGTCCACACCAGCTCTGGACACACACCAGTTTGAAGAGATAAGGGCCCGTGGCTCTCTGGAGACACAGGACTGAGCAGCGATGTTAGGGAATCTGGGTCCTGGGTTCGGCAAGCCCTACACACTGTCCACTTGGGTCTCTTTGGAAGCGCAAGGAAACATGGTCCAACTGAGTGACACCAGCCTGCTTACTCCTGGCGTTGGGCTCAGTGCAGACACACCGAGGTCTCTCAAAATGCACACAAATAGGCACTGATTCCCGGACAGACCCGGATGGACAGGAACTCCTCTGCAGAGCTGCGTGCGGAACAGTCGGACTCCCCAAAGCCACTTGTCGGGGACGAGCAGTCCTCCCTCTGGCTGCCCCCCAGCAGCTGCACCGCGTCCAGAGTTCCTAGATGACTCACCAGGGTGGGAGAGGACGCCAGGATGGCGGACAGAAGCCAAGAAGCCTGAGGAACAAAGAGTTATGGAAAGGCCAGGGCAGGTGAACACACACGCTGTGGGCCCCGTGGTGGAACAGAGAGGAAAAGTATCAACAGGCCTGGGGTGGCCTGAATTTCACTTCAACCAGTGGTGGGATCAAGAAATTAAATAAGCTTCCCTTTGAACTTCCTGCCTCAGTTTCTCTCTGGGCCCCACAGAGGACTCCCCGCCACCCCCCACTTACTGATTGGTGAGCTGCTCAGCCCCAACAAACAGGTTGATCCTGGAGAGGCCAGTTCGAGTGCCAAGGAAGGCGACCTCCACGCCCTTGTCAGAATTCCTGAAACAGAGCAGCAGGTGTCAGGGGTCCTTCCGGACGGTAAGCAGATAATCACCTTTGCATTTAAGACTCGTGGAACCTTTTATGAACTAGCACTTTCATAACCTGAAATTGGAAAAGAAATTCTAGAAACGCACACACATACCAGCACAGGATGCAAACCCTAATCACTTATAAAAGTTGTCATCCCAATTCTTGCAAGAAATCTAAGAACTCCATGACAACAAAAGCGTCATGAGAAAACGCATCCCCAAAGCTAAATAAGGACACCTTCACCTCAAGTTCCTGGGTGCAAGTTCAGAGACAGCGGGCCCAGAATGGGAGCAACTCTAAAGAGAGGAAGCAAGTCCTGAAAGCGAGCTTTCTGCACTGACGCTACAAAGTCTGTTTTTGGTCCTGAGACCACTAGTGGGATCTGTCATTAGCCAAAATAAGCAAGTGAAGCACTGAACCAAACCTGCAGCATCCCACAGCCTGGAAATGTCTAGGACTTGAATTCAACACCATCTGGGGGCACCAGCTTGTAACTGCTACCGGAGCAGGGGCCTTATCCTCACCTCCAGCACCACAGAGATGAGTAAAGAAATAGCTTCTTCAGACAGCCCTGCAGATGCCATTCATAGGAACTTGAAGAATGGCCTTAACAAGAGAAGTCATTTGAAAAGTCACTGAACATTTATTTTTCAGCTTTCAAGTTTATTTTTATGTTTGAACAAGTTCTTTAGGATATTTGCAATGCATACTCCATTTTTAAAAATTATATTTTATTGATTTTTTTAAAGAGAGGAAGGGAGAGGGATAGGGAGTTAGAAACGTCGATGAGAGCGAAGCATCAATCAGCTGCCTCCTGCACACCCCCTACTGGGGATGTGCTTGCAACCAAGGTATATGCCCTTGCCCTGAATCGAACCTGGGACCCTTCAGTCCCCAGGCTGACACTCTATCCACTGAGTCAAACCGGCTAGGGCAATGCATACTTCTTTGAAAAATCAAACGGTTTTCTCAACCAAGGCATACTTTTATTTTCAATAACAGTATAAGGAGAATACTGATTTTGAATATATTTCCCTACCCTAGATACTAGTAACAATTGGATTGGAAGCCTTATCCATGTCATCTGCATCATATGATCATTTGGTTACCTGCTCTTCGATGGTAGCCAAAGTGGTCAATTCTACCTTTAAGTATTTAAGGGGTGAATAAAAACCAACACAATGCATTTGTTTCTGCTTGTAGCCAATACAGAATTGGAGAGCCAGGCTGCCCAATCAGTTACAGATGTGGAGTGCAAAGCAAGCTACCATTTTGGAAATCTTTAGCATGTGTTAGGAGTGAATCAGCAGCCTCTGCACAGGATTTTGAGTTTCAGGGAAGCCTAAAGAAACATTTCCACAGCCACTAGAGCAGCGGTTCTCAACCTGTGGGTCGCGCCCCCTTTGGCGGTCGAACGACCCTTTCACAGGGGTCGCCTAAGACCATCCTGCATATCAGATATTTACATTACGATTCATAACAGTCGCAACATTACAGTTATGAAGTAGCAACGAAAATAATTTTATGGTTGGGGGTCACAACATGAGGAACTGTTTTAAAGGGCCAGAAGGTTGAGAACCACTGCACTAGAGAATGCAATCCCAGGAAGGGCTTTGACTCTCTCCTAACATTTCTGGGAATAACCCATGTAGGTAATCATTCAAAAAACGCCCCAAATCTAATGAGAATGGCCATCTTTCTTTGTGCCTTCAGGCTCATGTAAAAAATCAGCTACCTCACATCTCCACTTAGGAGACTTTTAGTCAGTGCAATCTTAAAATGTCTAGAAATGAACTCTGGCCAATCCAGTCACAAATCTGATCTGCATTGTTTCCTGTCCTGGGAAGTGGCACTGAGTTACTCATATCATAAACCTGAGAACTATCCTTGACAGTTCAGCTGCCCTCCCCTCAAGTGCCAGGGGTCTTACTTCCGAAGCATGCCACCTGGACACCTCTTCTCTCTATGCCATCTGCCACTGCCCTGTCTGAGTGGCAAATCCCTGGGAATGCTGCAGGAGCCTCTATTGTTCTTACTCCATCACCATTCATTCTCCACACAGTAGTAAAGGGATCTTTAAAAGTACAAATCGAATCATGTCCTTATTAAAACCCTTCAATGATTTTCCAATACTCTGAGGATAAAATCCAAAACCTTTAACTTGACTCCCAAGGTCCTGAACCACCTGAACCCTCTGCAGCCTCATCTCCAGGTGTGTTCCCACTGACCTATTGGCCTTCTTGAAATTCCTCAAATGGGTCAAGTGCTTTCTTACCTCAGGGCCTTTGCACATGCTGTGCTTATTCCCTTGAATGCTCCCCAACTCTTGAGCTAGTGCCTGCCCAGAAAAGCCTTTCCTGTTTTCCATTTTTTTCTTCAACAGTTATCACAATTCTTAATAATACAGAACACTATATACCACTGGTGTCATGATGACAAGGACTGTGTTTAATGGCGTGGCCTCCATTCACCAGCACCTAGCCTCATCCCTGACATATAACACACAGTCATCAATATTTGATGAATGAATGAATGACTGGAAATGAGAGCAGAATGAATAATGGACAGAATAGAAGAGAATATATAGAAGGAAAGACAAAAGAAAGGAAGAAAAAAAGAAAGAGCAGAAAAGGAGAGAGAACTGAATAATGTATGATGTGAAGATATAAAAAGAAATTGTTTTCTTATTATTTTAAATCTTTAAACACCTACTTAAAATAGTAGCAGTAATAATAATAATAATAATAATAATAATAAGCTGCTGAGGCAATTCTCACCATAGTCTTTGACAATAATTCCCCTTGCCGGCTCCCGTCCCCCGACATCCTCCCCTTCGAGAGTAAAGCCACAGGGTTACATCTGACACCCTAATGAAGCAGCGCTCCTACTTCCTGTCCTGCTCACCAGCAAACCTGGCCTGAATCCCAACCTCCCAGCCTGCGAAGTAAAGGCAGCCACGGCAGGGCAGGAAGCACAATGCTCCTTCTGCCCCCACCCTCTCGGAAGTGTCACCCTACCTCCGCATACCGAATTTCATGTAATGTTAAAACTCAAACAAATTACACGTCAAACCCAGTAGCTTGCCATCCAAGCCCCAGCCGCTAATCTGCTCTAGCTCTTGTGGTTTGGAGCTTTGGGGAAAATTAAAGAACTTTAACACCAGGCTCCTCAAACAGTTTAGTTCTTAAACTATAACCATATTTCGGACTGTTTGTGGGGAAATGGCCATGAAAGGGGGACACGTGCAACCACTTACTCAGATTTGTTGAGGGCAAGGCTGGTCCAATAGGCTTCAATGGGAGCGCTCACCACAGCATCGAAAAGGACCTCCTGGATCAGTTCTTTATCACCTGTCGGGAGGGGCAGGCTTGAGAAGATGGCTCTGGCCGGGCCCCAAACTGGGGCATGAGAAGCACCCAGCAGCTCATTCTGCAGTATCTGCAGGCCGCTTTCTCACACAGTGTGTTGCTTTATATACTAACCTCCCATCAGCTGAAAATAGGAAACAGTCTGACACCTGACCTGCCAGCAACCCAGCAGCCCCCTAAGTGTTTGGGTGAGACAATAGCAAATGGAGAGTCTTGGGAACCTCACACTTCTGGGTTCTGCTCTCTCTCTCCCTCCCCCCATCTAGTAGTTTATGCCATAGACCCCAGGCCAACCATGGGGTGTGGAGACCAGAAGTCAGCAGTCCTTGGAGAGTTTATTCTTTTCATCCCATTTCTGTCGCCTGTCAAAGCCTGTGGGTCTTCATGGCCCTGATTTCAGTCAGTTGCAAGAAGGGAGAGGGATACGATAACCTCCTAACTCCTGGGACTCTATATTGTGATTCTTTTCATTAAAAAAACCTTTCCCCCCCTTCATTTTAGAGGGGGGAGTAAGTCCCTATGCAAAGGGACTCTTGGCAGAGTTCCAGCGAAGAGGCTAAGGAATCAGGGGGGTATCCCAAAGGCACCCTAGAGCCCTCCAATCACCTCACAACAGGGGCAACTCATTATCACACCAAGCAGAGGAGTCTCATGGTGGCTGGGGGAATAACAAGGTGGAGCTTGGGGCGAGGTTTGGCTAGAAGGGGTCAATGGGGAGGGGGAGGGGACATATATATTTTCAACAATAAAGATTTTAAAAAATTAAAAAAAAATAACGGATCACCAAAGAAGGAAAGAAAGAAACAAACAAAAAAAAACAACAGATAAACTGAAAAATTGTCATGCAGTGGAATATTATATAGTAATTCAAACAAATGAATCAGAGTTAAATAATCAACACAGCCAAAACCGGTTTGGCTCAGTGGATAGAGCGTCGGCCTGCGGACTGAAAGGTCCCAGGTTTGATTCAAAAAAAAACAACAGATAAACTGAAAAATTGTCATGCAGTGGAATATTATATAGTAATTCAAACAAATGTAAATAAAATAAATAATCAACACAAATGCATCTCTCAAAATTACAATGAGTGACAACACAAGATGTAGAATAATGCATATATTATACAATTGATAATATGTATAGTATACCATATACATAAAATTTATAGAAAATAAACATGGAAAAATATATAAGGTGTCCCAAAAATGTATATGAAAACTTTGAATAATTATAAAGCCAGTGTTTATTAAAATATATTTCATTTTCAAAATTGAGCTATCAGCTGTTAAAGTTTGTACACATTTTTGCGGACATCTTATATTTTAATATAGAAAATAATGTTACATATTTTTAATGGATACCTATATACAGGGTGGGCAAAGGTGGGTTTACAGTTGGGAGTACTTGAAACAATTTATTTTTGTATTATTATTTATTAGTTATTATATTATTTTCCATACAAACAAATGTAAACCTACTCCTGCCCCACCCTGTATATAGTTATAGCATAAAATGTATGGGAATGATGAACAAATACAGGATGGCAATTCTCCCTGGGAAGGAAATTGCACAGGATTGGGTACTCGGGCTTCAACATTATCTGTTATGTTTTATTCCTTAAAAATGTGCAAGAAGCAAGTATGGCAAAATATTAAGACTTGATGACAAATGTAAATGGTTTTTAAATCTAATTTCTATGCTTTTAAAAATCTGTCCTGCAAAAAGTCAAAGTAAAAAGAAAAAGTTGGGCTCCTAGGCTGTCCAGCTGACCCTTTCTCTATCAGAGCACATCCAGAAAAGTTAATCCATTCCATGAAGATGTGGTTTAGGAGCTGGGCAATCTCCTTACACCTCCCAGGGCTGCTGTGCTTATTCTATAAGACAACACGTGTAAGGAACATTTCACATCACTGAATAAGTGATAGCTGTTAAGGGTCTGCAATGCTCATCTTGGATGAGTCTCCCTCTGCCCAGTCTGTAGCCACTGCAACTAGCAGTTCAAGATCTGACCTTGTGCTTGGTGAGCGCCAGGCCTGCTGCTGCTCTCCCTGCCTCTCCCTCTGCATGAGTTGTCTGCCATTTCTGACTCACTAAGCTCCCTCCTAGGGCACTTGGTGGGAGGAGAGGAGCAGCACATACCCCACAAGAAGCAGTGGCAATCCCACCCTGGAGAGAATTAGGACACCTAGATTATGACCTTGAATAAGACAAGTCCTATTTCCAGCCCTGGTTTACCATCTATAATAATAAAAGCATAATATGCTAATTAGATTGGGCGTCCTTCCAGACGTCCTTCTGGATGTCCTTCCAGATGAAGCTGGGGCTGCGAGGGAAGCCCAGGTCCAGGGTGCCAGAGGGAAGCCGGTGCCGGCAGCCGGGGGAAGGAAGGCCTGCTTTTGCACGAGTATTTGTGCATTGGACCTCTAGTTTATAGAATAAAAGTAAGCAGATATATACAGTCCCTTCCCTGTTGTAACATTTTCATCCTATTCAGGTATTTGACTAAATGGTTATTTGACTAAATCGTTTGGTAGGAAGATAAATCTGGTGTAAAGGGTTAATCTGGGATTGGGAATTCTACATGACTTTCCATAACCCACATTCTTTCTCTTGTTCCTACAGGAAGCAGACATTTGGCTGGATTTAAGGTGACTGATAGTCTCTGCCAAAGCAAAGCTCCCCTGGAACACTGAAGCGACCCAAGGTTTTGCTTTCACCCCCGCGGGATTGGGAATTCTACATGACTTTCCATAACCCACATTCTTTCTCTTGTTCCTACAGGAAGCAGACATTTGGCTGGATTTAAGGTGACTGATAGTCTCTGCCAAAGCAAAGCTCCCCTGGAACACTGAAGCGACCGACGGTTTTGCTTTCACCCCCCACCACCACCTGCATACGCCGTGTCTGGAAGCACACTCACATTGCAGCAGAGGTTCTTTGCCTTTGAGGTAGAGCTTAATCGCTTCTAACTGAGACAGATGGCGGTGCTCTGGGTGCAGGTCCGTGTTGCAGTAGGACCTACGAACATGACATGGCCCAGACAACATGTAAATAGTCACAGCATCACCTTCTTTTGCCTTTAAAACAGGAGAACTGGACACGAGAGTATAGAGAACTTGAGAACAAAGCAGGCACCAAACACCAGTACTGATGAAGGATTTTAATTCTTACCATTCGTCTGCCAAGGACACATCGGGGTGTTCTAAGTCATGCAGGCCTGGAGGTCAAGGAGAAGACGTTAATGAGTAAACGCCATCTGTGTGGGGCACTGACCCTCCTCATCCTCTCACGTGCTTCAAATGTTCTTGGGTGGGGCCCTGGGCTGGTTAAGGGTAGACATCAACCCCAAAGATATCTGCCTCAGAAAAGGGACTCTGATCAAAGGAAACAAGTTATTTTCCAGGCAAAACTTCTTCCTCACTCAGCCACCACCTTCCACGGCTGTGTATCCCAGGAAAGCCTCAACTCCTTGCCGAGAAATGATACACCAGTGAGTCCTGGGAGAGGAGCTTAGGGTGATGGTGGAAACACTGCCTTTGGATCCCCATGCAGCCTGAGCTGGGGACTGGGCGAGGCCACCTAACTCCTGTGGGACTTTAGCAGGTTACCTTAGTTTTTTAAATGTTATCTCTTCATGTGCAAAGCAGGAATAATGGTAACAGTCTCTAACTGATGGGTGGTTGTGAGGGTGAAATTATAAGTTGAATGGTATGAAATTGCCAATACTCAACTGACCAGCAAACATGGCTAGTTGTTACAGAATCCTAAGTGAAAATGAGTCATCTGTCTGGAAAGGTAGCTAAGAGAACAGGGGTAGCAGAGAAATTGGGCGTTTTCACAGAATGGTCCAGAACACTCCAACTCTGTGAAATCAGTCTCTTTCCCTGTGTGTTCATGAGACTTCATTTCAGTGGGTCATCAGCAGCCATACTTTTGAGTGCTGACCTCAGGGACTCCAATGGTGCTGAAAGCCTGTTTTAGGATGTCAGTTTCCCAAATGACCAGCACTGTCTCATTGCACCTCGGATTCCAATTTTCTCCTCAAATACAAATGTGTAAAATACAGAAAAATACTAGAACAATCAACACACACTCCTGCTTGATTTTATAGGAAGGAGGGGATACATTAGATAGACTATCATCATATATCATCCAAGTGGCCAAATCCTGGCTCCAGCACCTACTGGTTGAATGATCTTGGGAATGTCACTTCAACTCTGAGTTTTATCAGCCAGAACACACAGGTGAACATGCCTAACACAGAGACTTCAGGAGAGGATTGAATGAGATAATAATTGGTTCATAGGACAATTCTTCCCTTCATTTCAAATGTTCACTGAGCGAAGTGCTATTCCAGGCCCTAAGCATATAGCAGTGAACAAAACAAAAATCACTTCTCTCCTGACATTTACCTTCCAGTGGCAGGAGAGAGATAAGTAAATAAAATTAAAATACATAGAGTATCAGTTAGCGGTGAGGTCTATGAAGAAGAGAGAATGTAACAAGGGTAGGGAGAGAGACAAGAGATAGTAAGGGTGGAGAAAGAAAGTTTCAGTTTTAGCCATGGACGTCAGGGAATTCTTCACTGAAAAAATGACTGTTAAGCAAAATCCTGAAGGAGGTGAGGGAAAGCCATGTAGATACTGGAGAGAGTGCTCCTGGCAGAAGGAAATATGAGTGTGAAGGACCTCATGTGAGATCTTGCCTTCCTGGAATATGGGGTTAATGATGTCAATTCTAGCTATTTTTTTAGTTTCTTTTCTCATCAGCTTTGATCCACAAAGCCCCCTCTGGCTATATTTCATAGGACCTATACATGAGACCGTGAAAGAAAGATCTTTTTTTACTGCTTCCTCTCAGAGTTCCTAGGGCACCAAATAAATTGAACTGTTTTCTAATTCTTTCACCTCTTATTTTGGTCCTCCTGACAAAATTACACCTACTGATGATTGCTAATGCTGACAATAATGAGATAGTCTCTAATTTACAGAACAATCATTATGTATAATAGATATTAAAGATGCAGACTAAGTGTCAAGGAGATTCAGAAGAGGAGCGATTTCAGCAGGTAGAATTACAGCCCATGACTTCAACCTCAGTAGTGACTCCTTACATTTGGAGCAAAATCTATGTGTTCACCATATTTGTAATATCTGGCATTTGCAAAGCACATTAAAAATGCCTACATTCTCTGGGGCAGCTTCCTTATGGAGGATCCTACAGAAGTGAGGTTGTCCGTCCCAGGGTTCTCCTTCCTTCTCCAGGAACAGAACAGCACACCAATCATGCCTTGGCCCTTAGTAACTAGCCTCTCCTAGTTAGCCCGAGGGGAAGCAGCTTTCTCAGGCTCTGTGACTCAGCACAGGTGGCAGGACTGCAAGCCCTCTTATTCATAGAGGACCAACAGAGAGAGGAAGATCTGACCTCATTTTTGTGGATAACCAGACACTCTGCCCCTTGCTGAGGATTCAGACTAATGTCTTGCATGGTGGTTGCAGTTAGCTCTGAAATGATCTCTACCTGACTCTCAGCCTACCAGCTGTGGGACATACAGGGAGAAGATAGTGACTAAAAAATGATCCAAAAGACCATGCAAAACAACTTGCAGACCATGTATTGAGGATTGACTAAGGGAATGGACACATGAGAGGCCATAAATCTATTCATACTCTCTCTGATTGTTCTGACCATGGGGTATTTCCTCAGCTTGACTTCAGATGGCTTAAACATATATTTTCTGGCTTCATAGGCAGTGATATCCACAGAGCTACACATGGCTCATGGGGCCAGAAAATTCTAGAATTAAAAAAAAAATAATTTTGGAGAACACAACCTATTGAGTATCTTGTCCAAGTCACAAAGTTGCCCGTTTTCTCTTGCATGTCTCTGGGAAGAGGCCACACAATTGATTGGCTCTGCAGTGGGCACACTCTGAGTTCTTCCCAGGCCACTATGAACTCCCTTCCCTATCCTTCCTATTCCTTGAGATGACACGATTGCTTGGAAGACAAAAACCAACACCTTTGAAACACAGCATGGAGAATCAGTGGTAAACCAGAAGACTGTCTATAACTGGCATCTCAGGGACAACCGATCTCATGCTTCATTCTCAGCTACATCTGAGCCACAAGGTGGTCCAGCTGCTGGAAGTTCTTCTCATTCATTTGTAACCAGCTTTCATTAACACCTGACTTGAAACAGACCTTCTGCCCTTGGCCATACCCCCTGGGGACACCCAGACAGAGCACTGGTCTGGCCCAACTCCTTCTTTGTGCAGATGCAAAGCTGAACACCCAGGTTGGGCAAGGGATGCACTCAAGGACACTTTGGGAGTGAAGCCCTTCAGAGGCCAGCCCACCCCTCCCTGTGAGTTGCTGAAACAGAAAGGTAACTTCTCTGAGCTACCAGGTTGTGGGGAGATGAAAAGGACAGTAAAGGTGTGACAACTATTTTAGTCTTAAAGAGCTATAACGACTGCTACCTGTTACTAGGAGTTTACAGTGCTTTCTGAAGACCAGAGGGTCTGGGAATCTGAAGGGGCCACTTATGCCTTCTAAACTATGGAAATCATTGAAATGAGCAGTTCCTGTTGGACCCTTTGGACCCAGGCTGCCATGAAACACAAGTGAAATGTGTGGCTTAAATGTGTAGGAGACCCAGGCTTGCATATTTTTGTTTTCATTTTTTTTCCTTGGCTTGAGTTTTATTTTTCCCGGTACTGATTTTTATGGGTGAGAAGCATATAGTTAGAGGATGATTCCTATGAGTGGCCTTCACAACTCTGTGGACTAAAGCAGAATATAAATAAATGAAATCATAAGGAAGGCCCCACTGGTTGGGGTTCCCACCATTCGGAATCAGTGTAGAAAAGCAGGTGACATCAAGAGGCCGTTAGTTAAGTCAAATGTCCAGGGATTGGCCAGAGTGTTGGACAGATGCCCAAGTTCTTCAGTGAACCCATGGTGGGCACCCAGGCTTCCTTCCCACAGTAAGGATAAGACTGACCACGGCAGCATCTTACCTTCTTCAATGGTTACATTCCCTCGGAAGAAATACTTCCCATGGCCCCTGGAGAGCGCCACACCTAAACTGTGCAGAGAAACAAAGCAGATCTTGAGACCCATGGCATCGACTGGCATAGACTTGTGGGCTAACTTCTTATTTTCCATTTTCACATTGCCATTTCATGTTCTGTAAACAATTTTTCCAACAGTTTATTTTCAAAACCCCACTGATTATAGTTGGTGTTGGTTTTTCTTAGGTTCAATCAGCTGCTTCAAAGTACATTTTTTGATTGGAAGTGCCCGCAGCAACTGGCGGCTCTCTCGTGTTTACAAAGAGGTGTGGCAAGCTGCGCAGCCCCCTCGCAAGCCCTTTTCTTGGATGCCCTCAAAAGGGTCACTTGCCCTGCTCTTCACTACCACCTTACGCACCCCTGCACCGCTGCCCTGCATTCAGCCAGAGGCGGGCCTCTCCAGACCTTAGAGTTTGGGACTAGGGCAAATTAAGCCCTTCCCAAGGGCAGAAAGGAAAACTTCTACCACCACTTGAGCGTAGCCACATGGCTGTTCTGTGGGCTTCTTTGCTCCACTCTCTCCCTAGTCCCGTGGTCGGCAAACTGCGGCTCGCGAGCCACACGCGGCTCTTTGGCCCCTTGAGTGTGGTTCTTCCTAAGCCTTAGGAGTACCCTGATTAAGTTAATAACAATGTACCTACCTATATAGTTTAAGTTTAAAAAATTTGGCTCTCAAAAGAAATTTCAATCGTTGTACTGTTGATATTTGGCTCTGTTGACTAATGAGTTTGCCGACCACTGGGCCTAGTCTAACAGAGTTATCACACCCTCACGGGCCTGATGTAAGCTACTTTCTGCATTTGTCTAAAGTAAGAGACCATGCTTTGAAAACACAGTCTCTTCGTTTGGCAAACACCCTTAGCAGTCCAGTGTTCCCTGGGTTGCTCTGGTTCCAATGGAACCTATCCATGATCCCTGGCCTTATATGACAACAATCCATCACTTAGTTTTCAGATTAATCTAAAGTCAGTAAATTCTTTCTCTCCTTAGCTCTGCGAGGCAACTGTTCGGGAACAGGAAGCAGCCCCACTGAAATCGCTTTTGACAAAAGGTGTCCCGATGCTGCGGGAACAGCAGCGGGAGACGTCAGAATGCCACGTACGCATCTGTAAGCAGGCAGGAGGCAAAGCCATTTCCCAGGACTGTTACAAAGAGAAATAACAGGATTCAAAGGTGGACAAGCACAGAAGGACAGTTCAGAGAAATTCAAATGGAAGTACAGCATGTAGTGATGGGTATGCTACCTCCAGGTTTGAAGGATTTTTTTTTTTAATTTTGGGTCATGGAAATAAAAGGTGAAATGAAACTCACTAGGCAGCAAGTTAGATGGTTAAGGACCCTGGTAACCCTCTGAACTTGTCTCTCCCCCCTTAGTTGGAACCCCCAAAGCTTATTTGCTGGATAATGAGATGCAAAAGCCAAGACACTTGAGTGAGTTGCCCTGCGTGAGCCTGAACCATCTTCCCCCTCCTGGAAACCAAAAACCAAAGCAGCCTGGGCACAGGCCCTTCCTCACTCGCTCCAGCCTTTGGGCAGGGTGTCTGGTTATCTTCAGATGATGAGCTCTGAGAGTGTCAGCAGGTTTTGTACAAACACAACTGATGGGTCGGATGGAATGTCCATGTATTATGGTCAGCTCTACCTGAAAGGAGTACCCTTGATGTCTGTATAATAGTAGTCATTTGTCATCACCAAAACCCGTTTCTAGATTGAAAAAAAAGGTCGTAGAGAAAAGAAAACATGGTTAGTCTGCTAGGTGACGTTTTCAGAAATAAATAAAAATAAATGGACACACTATGATCAGGTTAACAGTACTACATGAATCTTGTTTGAGATAAGTAAAGACAAGAGAAAAATGATCTCAGCGAAAGATATTTATTCCAGATAGAGCTTTCAAAAGCTAATTTTTCACAGTGGTTTGTTTTAAATTAAGTGGCAAGAATGTTTGAGAAAAATGTACCCCTTTGTCCACTGTCTTCTTCACCTCCATGGAAAACTTCCCTGTCTTTCGATTCACCATGGCATTTCGTAACTAAAATGATAAAAGAAAACAGTGTTAGTTCTCCCCTGGGTTACTAAGCCACAGGGGCACCTTGCACCCTCCAGCTCGGTGGCGCAATGGAGGCCTGTGCAAAGCAGAGGTGAGACGGATCTGGGCTGCTTCCTGCCGCATCCTGGCTGCTTCCATGGTGAGTGTGCATTTGACACTCAGACCTCGGAAACAGGGCTCCTGCAGAATCAACACCCAATGGCTGTTGGACAAGGGGAGAGAGGCTAACTACAATGAATAAATAAATGACTCTCAACTTCAATTTGGGGTGCTGGGGTAAACCTCAGGCAATACCGACAGAAAAGCCTATGCAATGTTGACAAGTCCAAGGACAAACCCCCAACACACTCAAGGAGCAAGAATGTCTCTTGGGATAAGTTATATTCCCAAAAAGGGCATTGGTTTGTCATGGAGAAATAACTTTTCAAAATGTGCGTTAAAGGCGTTTTCCTACACAGTAGTTTCAAACACACACACACACACACACACACACACACACACACACGGCCAACCATTTGGAAGCCAGGGATTAGCTTTTCATAGCATGAATCATCACCAAATGCTCTTGGAGAAATCAGGGTCAATTAATGGCTTCGATGACACTGACGGGCAGGGAACAGGGCAACCTTCTATCTGATTTCTGGAGGTCCCCTCGGAGCAGGGCGCCTGGCTCCCTCCCCCACCCCTGGCTGACCTCTCCTAATTACGTGTGGCCCTTCCGTGAGTTCAGAGAAGGACAGCAGACACAGTGATGAAAGATGTGCCGTCATGGGCACCAATGGGAGACGACAGGGAAGGCCATTTAATGGAACAGGAGCAGATGCTGACATGCCACAGCCTGTCAGGAAAGGCTCCTTCCCAGCCCTGTGCTGGGTTTTCTTTCTGTTTTGCTTTTTTCACCCTTGCCCCTCTTTTCTTTGAGGAGCTTGACTAAGATCTAGGTGATAGAAAACTGCAACGCTTGCAGGCAACCTCGATCTGATTCGGGGTGTCTAGATCTGGGTTTGCATTCCCCTCTTCTGTGAGACAGGGTAAAAGCATAATTTTTATCTGGAGGCATGCATAAAATAAAACATATATTTTTTTACTCTAGATATTTTTGAACAACACATAATGGGCATTTCTGGAAATATTTTCCCATTTTAACTTTTGTGGTTTTGGATGGGGAGAGCTGGTCCTAATTAAGTCTACTTTCTAACTTTTAAGAACGGCTCCATTTATCTTTAACATGGTTTTCATTTTTCCTCTTTCTGGTGCCTGCCTAAAGCCATTTGGGACCTTCCCCTCTCACATTCCCCAGGCAAGACAGAGATTAGGTAAGCCTCCCCACCCTCCGTGCCTCCCCACCCCACCTCCCTGTAGCACAGAGCAGTCAGCGGGGGCCTGGGAGGATCCTGGGCTAGGGTCATGGGTGCTTTCTCAGCTTTCTAGAGGAAAATGCTTAGATGATTAGTCTGGTCTTCCCCCTTTCTTCAATAGGAATGAAAGTAGGTTACACTTACTGAACACCAACCTGTGGGGCAGGATAGCCCTGTAGTGAAGGGATGAACCCTGGAACCGGCTTTGTGATCCTAGACCAGTGATGGCGAACCTTTTGAGCTCGGCGTGTCAGCATTTTGAAAAACCCTAACTTAACTCTGGTGCCCTGTCACATATAGAAATTTTTTGATATTTGCAACCATAGTAAAACAAAGACTTATACTTTTTATATTTATTTTATATATTTAAATGCCATTTAACAAAGACAAATCAACCAAAAAAATGAGTTCGCGTGTCACCTCTGACACGCGTGTCATAGGTTCGCCATCACTGTCCTAGACCCATCAATTATCCCCTCTGAGCCTCAGTTTCCTTTCTGCAAAATGGAATTAATGACAGCACCCACCTCACAGAGGTTTAGGGAGGATCAGAGGAGCTAATATTGACAAGAGCGCCTGGTGCCCCCTTGGCACTCAGTCAACGTTGGCTGCCTTCCATCGACATCAGCACCAGGAGCAGCAGCAGCATCTTCCTTATCACCCCCCCTCCACTTTCTTTACTGTCAGACCCCTCTCAATAGCGTCCTGAATCAGGATTTAAACTCTAGTGTGCTTGGCACTGATGCCCGTGCTGTAAACCAGTGTTTTTAGACTTTCTTGAGGGTGAGCCGCGGGAGAACTACAGCTTCTCTGATGCAGCCTGGTGTCTCCTGATCTTACAGATCCCCATGGCCTTTCCCTGCTGCTCAGCAACAACCGAATGAATTTGGTGACTATCCCCTCATTCCTCAGGTTGAGAACTGCTGCTCATAGCCACCTCCAGGTTGGCACCGACTGAAAAGAGCCAGCCACGGGAAAGAGAAGTAACACAGGATGTCCTGGCTCCCGTGCCAGGCTTCACCATGATTACACCACTGTCCCGTGACCTCGCTGTGGCTCAGCTTCCTCAACTTCATTCATCCCGCCGGAAGTGTTCATGAGTGAGGACTTCCAGACCCCCGGGGTCCCGCCAGGTGCTGTGTAAATCGTGTAGCAGGCTTAGGAGGCTTGGGTAATATGACAGACACTGAGCTCTTACTATGTGCCAGGCACAGGTTTTAAGAGTCTCAGAATCATCTTATGGGATCATTATTATCCCTGCTTTCCAGGGGGGGAAACTGAGGCAAGGCTTGATGACACTCACCCACGGCCACACAGGCTCTCTGCCCCCTGAACCCATGTTGTTCTGCTTTTCAAATCAGGAGAGAAAGCATTTGGACAAATTTTAAGCATTAATATAAAAGTTGTGTCGTATTAATAGAAAAATAATTTACTGCTATTTCTGGCCATTTTTTTTAAAATCAAAGGAAATGTTTTACACATTGACCAGGCAGTAGTCTGAGGTCTGATGTCCCAGCAGGCTCTCCCACCGACTGAGGCCCTACGGCCTGGGGCTGGCGGGAAGCTGGTTTTCCATCCTCACTGCCAGAGGACGGAAAGGGGTTGGTGCTTTTTCAATAGGCTGTCCAGTGACGGAGCAGCCCTGTGGGGCTGGAGCACAGAAATGTCACTTTTCCATCCTAGGAAAGTGAGGCTGGAGAAGGGGACAGCTCGCCTGAGTGCTATGGTAAGTCAGGGCTACCACCAGCCGCAGGGTCTGGGTTCCGAGGTGGTACCCAGAGAGGAGGCGAAAGAGGAGGGGAGTGACAATGCTATCAGTCCCCACCCAGCAGGAAGGGCGTGGTCAGCGGTGCTGCCCAGAGTGTCTGATTTCCCTCGACCCCACCACCACCTGGATTACCACCTGAGCAACTGGAGCAATGAACATGGCCTGGCAAGGGACGCCTCCAAAGGAGTTGGGGTGTGCTCGTGTCAGAATGTTATGTAGCCGTCAAAAGTCATCTGTGCAGCCCCACCAGGAGATAAGGGTTCGATTCCTGGTCAGGGCACAGGCTCAGGTTGCAGGCTCGATCCTCAGTGGGGAGTGTGCAGGAGGCAGCCTACCAATGATTCTCTCTCACCATTGATGTTCTATCTCTCTCCTCCTTTCCCTTCCTCTCTGAAATCAGTAAAAATATATTTTAAAAAGTCACATGTGCAGATGTTCAACTTGACATACAGTCAAAGAAAGGCAAATTAAAATATCAATGACATACCTTTATGTTTCCCTATCAGAGAGCCAGCACTTGCTACTGTGCCCATGCAGTGGGCATTACAGCAGCTCTCACCCCAGCATGGTTCCTAAGATACAGGACAAACCTCTGCAGGCTGAAAACAAGAATCTGGTAACTGGGATCAGGGTTCTGGGGCTCCAGGAAGCACCCAATTCCCTGGCCCTGCCTTAGCCGATCAGACATCAGAAGTGCTTCCGGAGCCCCAGAGGGTCTGTCTTTCATCTGCACTTTGAAGCCGAGGCAACTTTGCTGACCACTCAAAGCACCCACTTGACTAACGATGACTGGTGGCCACACTTCCAGTTCCACTGTGAGCCTGAAGCTTCCCCCAGAGTCCCTGATCACCTTAGATTTTGTGTATAATTATAGAAAGAGAACTCATTTTCCTAATCGGAGGTTCATCATCCACATCAGATCAGGAGCTTCACCTTTGCTGATGCACAGGAGGCAAACGCTTCTGGCCCCAATGGGTGTGACCCTGGCCAAGCCAACAGGTTCAAGGGGAAGGGAGGACAGTGGAGAAACAGTCTGTTATTCCTGAGCCAGCCTTCAACCGGAAGGTGAAAACAGACTCAGACCCAGAGCACTTGTACAACAAAATCCTCTCTCTCTCCCTGCTTCAGCCTGGGCTCTCAGGCATGCTGTGCTGGTTTGGGGGCCCAAGGCTCAACCATGAGCTGAAGAGGTACAGGAATGGTTGTAAAGAACAAACTAAACAGCCAAAGGTCTCGGAAATAAGTTGCAGGAGAAGAGGTCGCTAGAGCTTTGGAAAGAAAGGACTCAGAGGAATCTTTCCATCAGCATCATCCCAGGTAAGAAGAAGTGAGTTGCCGGGGGTTGGGGGGGAGAAATGGGGCTTACACTGCAACACAGGGATTTCAGCTGGACTCAAGGCAGAACCAGATGGGGCCGTACTCACACCACCATCGCAGCATTTGTTCAGCAGCTATATGGCAGGCACACCCCGTCTTTTCTGCACCCCTTAGGGGAGATGACACATATAAGGCACTGATACAGGGTGTCTCCATGGAGTCTTGGATTCAAGGGCTCCTTCTAAGTCACACCAACATGGTCAAGAGCATTGGGGCCAGATGCCTGGCGTGGAATCCACACTCAGTGCTCTTGGACCATTACAGCAATTCCTTGCCTCAGTTTCTTTAGCTGTGAAATGAGGACAGCAATCACATCAATATCTCAGGATTGTTATGGGGAATAAACAAGTTGGTCTACAGACAGCACTTCGAACAGTACTGGCCTGTAGGGAGAATTCAATGTGTGGGAGCTCCTACTGATATCAGCTTCCTTCTGTTTATAGAAATAATCCTGCTCACGGTGGAAAGTCTGGGAACGACTAACAGATAATAAGAATAAGATAAAAGTCACCCTCAATTCCTTCAGCCATCTCTGGGAACTTAAAGGTACCTCTTCCTTCCAGTGGTTCTCAACCTTCTGGCCCTTTAAATATAGTTCCTCATGTTGTGACCCAACTATAAAATGATTTTCGTTGCTACTTCATAACTGTAATGTTGCTACTGTTATGAATCCTAATGTAAATATCTGATATGCAGGATGGTCTTAGGCAACCCCTGTGAAAGGGTCGTTTGACCGCCAAAGGGGGCGCGACCCACAGGTTGAGAACCGCTGTTCTAGGAGGTGATTAGCACCAGGATTCAGTCTCGGTTCTGCATGTGTCAGGCTCACTTCCTGGCTCACCGTGCCCACCAGAGCTGTCCTACTCATCATATTGTTGACATGGTGCCTGGCTCAACCTGGAGCGAGAAGTCTCACTCATTTTCCTGTAAATGATTTCTGATCTTAAAAATTTTTTAAATTTTATCCAGTCTTTTTTTGCATGTGTTTTAATAGTATATGTGAACAATAAAGAAGTATAATAATAATAATAATAATAATAATAGTATATGTGACCTCACACCTTTTTCAGAAGTACATAGGATGGGAACCCGACACTCTGCAGCTCCTGTGAGAAAGGAAGATGAGGCAAGGGAATACGGGCATATTCCAAACCATCCTTAGTAAAAGGAGATATCACCTCACTGAAGACTAACTGGGGCACAGGTGATGCCGAGAGTGAGCCATGTAATCAATGTCCTCCAGTCACAGGCCCAGGAGAAGTGAGTGTCAGCCGAGCGGTGACTAGTGACCAGCCGAGGGATGCTTCCTGGACACGGGGCTCTGGAGTGAGAACCAGCATCATTAAGTCCACCCTCCACATTCATGAAAGTGGGAATGAGGAAGGGATGGGGAAGCATGTTGACAAGCTCATGCCTTCTGGGAGAGAAAACCTAAAGGTCCAGGGAAGGCACAATAAACAACAGGTAAAGTGAAGATGGAAGAGAAAGGAAACAATGGGAGGCACCCTTTGGAGATTCCTGAGACAGTTTAGCAACTGTAAGCCCACAGGACACGGGCTGATGAGAAGGTCCCCTGAGGACCGATGATGGTGCCACTCATAGCGCTCCCCATGCCAACACATGGGTACTTTCATTTAAATTGTTCAACATATCAACACATTTAATATCCAAAACAGCTCTATGAGGTAGTTACTATTATCATTAGACTCATTTAATGGGACAAAACTAAAGAACAAGAAACAAAATTGAGGTGCAGACAGGATCATTGCTGACCCGGGCCAGCAGCCAGCAAGCAGCAGATCTGAACCCAGGCGGGTTCATCCCTGAGCTGCGCTCCTCACGGCTGGGCTAGTCTGATTCTTGGGATGAGCAGGTTGAAGAGAAACGACATATACATTAGGTGCAGCACAATCCAAAGAACCTGACATGAATCCTGATGACAATGTGTAAGAACGAGAAAATGTAAAACTCTACCAGGCCACTGACCCCATGTGTGTGTGCTAAAGAGTGCAGATGAGGAAGTCGCTTCTTATCAAATAGCAAAATCATTTTGTCTGAACCTGGGTTTAAAAAGACTTAGTACATATGTAGAAGGAAATAGGTTACATTATGAAACAGAAATGGTCTTGGCATTTTGTAAGCAAGAAAGAAAAAATCACGATTTATGCTGGATGAGATGTCCGGGGAGTGAGGATGGGAGAAGAAAGCTACAGCGAGAGAACTGCCAGGCCGGCCACATTTCTGGAAGCATGAGAACCCAGCCTGGGGACTTCAATGGCTCTACCAACAGCCCTCTGGAGAGCAGGACAGAGCGAGGGATGGGAACAATGCCGACCCAATGGTGACACTTAAGAGAGGACCCCGACAAGTCAGGGAGGATGCGGGCAGAAGAACATGGCCTTGGCAGAGGCAATAGGAGACAATGGGGAGAAGGTGAAGGGCAAGAATGTGGACAGAAACACCTGGATAGTTATGATTTAAATAAGCACCACCCGCCAGCATTTACACAAAGGCAGCCATGTCTAACAAGTCTGACTTAATGATGACATATCACGAAGGCTGACGGGGCTAAGCTGTGGGCCTGGGGAAGTTCTGGATGCAGTACCAGCGCCTGAATCTGTGTGAGAAATGGGTATGTGGCTTTTGTAATGGCCTGCGAAGGAGAAAAGGCTGTTCCTGCCTAGGAAAGGGGGTGGCCCACCGAGCAGAAACATGAAATCCTGACAGGTGAACTCTGCCCCTGACTTTGCCCAGGGCAGAGCCCCCCACCCAGGCTCCCTGACAGGGATGGTCCCACCAAGTGCACTGAAGAGGCGTATGGATTCATCAGCTGCAGAAGGGACCAGAGCCCACCAGGGGGTGGTTTTGCAGATTGTGCAAAGCAGGCTGGTGGCTGGCCTGTCGGCACCAGTCTGATCAGCGGGAAAGTTATAAACTCCAAACTCAGTACAAGGGCCCATTGTCTCCGCGTCCCTCTGGTGGCCAGGTGTCCCTCTGGTAGGCCTCTTGCTGGCTCCTGGGGCAGCCTCCAGGTACAGAAGTGGGTACAGTGGAGCTCCCTCCTCACCAGGCTTGAAAACAAATCACTTACCACATCGTCTCTGTCTTCCCACTCGACCTCGGAGAGGTCCACGCTACTGTAGTTAGGTTTCCTTCGCTTTTTCCCTTCTTCATACTAGCAAGGGGAAGAGACAGAAAGAGAAAACACTTCCATGAGACGACCAGCAGGGCAACCTTTATCCTCCTGAGTCCTGTTCTGAGGATGGGGACCATGAATGGAGGGACGTCAATGAGAGGCCCAGCCTGGTACCAGTCCTAGAGGTTTGAAAGGCAGGAAAGCTGAGGCCAGACACCTATGAACATTGGCTCTGAGCTGGGAGAATATACAAGTTAACTCTTTGCTTGATATGAATTTACCTAGTGAACCTCATGGCTCTAAATCACCAGATGCAAATCAGAGTTTCCCCTCCTCAGAGGGCTTGTATGTGAGATGGGGGAGAGCCTTTTCCTCCACAACAAGACTCTGAAACCGCCCGTTTAAAACACAGAAAAGGGCCTCTTACACATGGTATCAAATACCTAGTGGCGTCCTTCTATGTTTTATGCTTCTCCACTCTACCTCTTATCTCAATGTACTCCACACCCTTGGTTAGGCTACAAAAGCACCGGTCTCCACAGGTGGGTTCAACATCCTAGTAACGTGTGCAGACACACAGAAACTTCGACCTGCCACCCCAGTGGCCCCTGCAGTCCTGAGCTCAGCACGCTGCCTCCCCGGGCTGGATGTGGGTGTTGGGAATCGCTGCCAGATCTAAAGGCCATTGGGGCATTTCTCTGGAAAAGAGGGCGAGTGCATTCATAACTGGGCACGTGGTTTCAGGATTTCCCCCCTAAATCACTGGCGTTAGTCACCCTGCAAGCCCACCCTTTTATCAACCGGATGTTCTTGGTCTGGACACTCCTGTCTCAGGTCTTCAATGTTGGCTGGTGGGCGCTTATAATGTGGGAAAGTCTGCCCTCTACTGCAGGCTGAGGAGAAGGGACCCCTGTACTGTAAGATACGGCTAACGTCAGACTGGGGAAAATATATGTATGTACAGCCTTTTCTTGTTTGCTTTTCTCTCTAAATTGTCCATCTTTGATTTAATTGATAAGATTCTAAGACTCTGAAACCACAAGTTACCACTTTGAACATTGGCTACTATGGAGACTGGTGCTGAGGGCACATCAGACGTGATGGAGAAAATCCCTGTCCACAGGTGGAACCAGACAGGTCCAACCTGGCCCTGGTGACGTCTGAGGGAGAGAGACCAGACTGAGAGCCCCTGTGGGGCCAAGCAGGGTGAGGTGGTCCCCTAGCCTCTTGCCTTCTTCATTTTGGCTGAATTTCTGGAACCCTGAGACATCTGTGGAGACTGCCCACCCCCAACATCCGGGAAGGCCACCTCGCCTCCAAGAGGCAGGGCCCTGACGAGCCCTGCTCACCGGCCTTCCCTCCCCGCCCTCAGGTTTCCGATGAACAGCGTTCACGGTGAGTGCTATGACATCAGACCCGCTCCAGTGAAGAGGAGGGGAAGTGCTTCCCTCAGAAGCCGCTGTAAATGATAGCAGACTCTCGGTTGGATCCTGTTATGGAAAGTCCGTGTATGCAGGGCAGCTCTGTGCTCAGGAGAGCCAGGCCAGCTGAGTGGGAGGAACAGGATGAGGGCAGGGGGCTGTCGCTCGAGTCTCAGTGAGGAGGTGTGATGGGGGATTCAGACATTCTTGGACCATTGTCACCTGTGCTAATGGCCCAAGTCCCATTTTAGTAAGAGCCATCACAGAGCCACCAGGCACTCCAGAAGTTCATGCAGCACAGATTCTGACTGTTAAAGGGGAACCATTACAATTTCTTGGGTAGCCTAATGCTAGGTCTGAACTGTCTTTGGTGGAAGTACTTCCTTTGGTCGTTTCAAAATGCCCCTTTATTCATTTATTCAACCTCCATTTATTGGACATTCTTTCCCAAGGACTTGCTGACAGTTTATCACCTTCTGCCTCTGGGAGGTCAATTCCTTGCCCATCATGCATATAGGAAAATGGTCTCTAACACGTTAAATAACACATCAAATAACAAGATAGATAAGATCATACAGCCAGTAGGGGGAGGACACCCCCACCTACCACACCCCCTGACCAAGAAACTTTAAAAAATCCCAAGGTCCAGAGCACCAAATGCTCCCTCAGCCTTAGAAAAAGTACCCACCTGTCTTTGTTAGAAGAGGGGAGAACAGTGGTCCTGCCCCTTATCAGGCATGTGACTGAGCAAGGTGCCCAGCTGCTCCAAGCCCCCTTTTTCTCAGTTGCCAATGGGAAACATAAGAGCACCTCCACAGCCAAGGGAGGTTTAGAGGATTAAATAGATACTATATGTGAAGTGGGGAATGCATTCACAGGCACAAAATAAACCCTTAATATGTAGCTAGCATGATTCCTGAGAGCCCTGGCCCTCCTGGTGAAGACATAGGCTCACTGTATGCAACTGGCTAATACTTCACTTCCATGAAATGAAGGGGACCCATGCAATAATTTTGCAGGTCACTGTTCTGCAAACCATAGACAGGTTGGAGAGATTTGTTGAAGAGGATAATGTCAGACAAGCACATACATATGTCTTCACCTGGTGTGTATCTTACACACCAAGAGTTGTATACTCAACACCAAGTTGTGACTCAAACACTCCCGGTAGAAAAATGTGTACTTGTGCTAAAGAACCCAAGTCCTTTTAGATGGCACCTGGCACAAGTGGAACTGCAGAGAACCCTGGATTTCTGACCATTCCTAACATGTCTTTTCTTCACTGTTTAAATAACCACTCAAGAAATGCAGTACATTATATTCCTGGTATTCATGAAACTTGAAGAGATTAGAGAGTCAGGGGAAATAAGACTTCCCAGCATACCGATCAAGTCCAGCAAGTCTCCGTAGTTGAATTTCACTGAGAAACAGACTGAGCTGGGATCTTCCCTCCAGAACCCCATTGCAGGAATGGCCCTCTGTAATGTGTTCTTAACCCGGCATGTGTAACAGGTCTGAACCACTTTCCATGTGCATCTTTAGTAATGGGTGAGCTCCTTTAGAATATAGTGATGTAACCAGGTGATTAATTTGGGTGAGAAAAGGAAAAAAGCCAGTGGTCGGATGCATATATGAAACAGGTTGGGAATGGTGAGTAAGCGCTAGCATAATGACCTGATATTGACCTTTGTCATTTCCCCCATTAAGAAACCTATTAAATGGCCAGAGATTGGACCTTCTTTAGGAAGACACCTGTGCTATAGATTGTCACCATCCATCCCCTCCGCCCCCCACTTAGATAGTCATCTTTCATTTTTTCCTATAGGGAACCCCTTGACCCTACTCTCAATAAATGTAGTTCCAGTGGAGGTAAGACCTCCTTGGTTCAGAGGTAGGCAAGTGACCTGAGCATGGGAGGAAGACCCAGATCCCTCCAGGACATGGAGATTGGTTCAGAGACGGGGACATAACTCAGGCCAACCCAACTGAAACTCTATCTGGGATGCTTTCTTGGATTTGCCCAGAGAAAGAGGCTCTCCATCCACCAACATCATTAAGGTGCGAGGATGTGAACTTGAGCTCCTCCTGGCCACTGCGGCCACTACTTCCTGAGAATGATGTCGGGGCAGAGAAAGCAGAGAATAGATATGAAGCAAGTCCTGAAACCAGGTATGCACACCTGAATCAAGCTGTGCCTGAAATCCGTATTCTTTCAGATGTTTCATGTACTGATACATTCTCTCCACATAACCCTCCTTCCCTTTTTAAATATTTGTAAAAGCTGACTTGAATTTCAAGCATAGGTAGTCAACACGGTTCCGACTTGTATAGAGTGTTTCTTTATTTTCTTCTTCTAAAATGAACTACTTTAAAAGTACGCTTTAAGTGAAGTGTTCACAAACTTTGGTACTTTAATGATTATTTAGGAACATGTGATTTGGTGTTCCTATAGGGAACCCGTCGATTACATTAATGCTAATCGAGACAAATTACATGTTGAAACAGGCTGATCCTCTGTACCTATTTTCCCCTTGAGAGGACATATGTGTGTGGCCACAGACAAAGAGAGACAGAAAAAGAACCAAATCCTCAAATCTCCCAGGCCATCTCTCCCCTCTCCCATGGGACTGGGCCTGGGACAAACCCCAGGTCCACCAGCCCCTCTCCCTCTTCCCTGCGTGAGGATCTTGTTACTGGGGCCGAGGCACCGTATATGGCATTTGTTAGTGTATCTGTAATCTGTAACTTCCTTTGAAAATGTGATTAACGAATTGCAAACGGTTTCCAAAGGTTTATAAACAGATACTTTGAGAGCCACAGGTAGGTTTGTAGTTTTTGGTGCCTGTTTTATGAAAAAAATATGTGAGGGAGAATTTAATAAGGAAAGATATTCTGTGCTATGAAGTGCTTTGAGGTGGAGTTTTAAATAAAGGCCAGATGTGGTGAACACACAAGCCAGCCTGTGGCCTAGGAGGATGGGACCAGAGGGGCACCCATCTGAGGAGGAAGCTGGAACCATCTGGGGGCGTGTGAAGGGCCAGGCCTTCCTGCAGTGGTGACAGTCTGGATATGAGTGCCTGTGTTACCTGCAGACACGTTGGATGCGTAATGGGATGGGCTACAGTGGTGGCCATGTTCATGTTGTTTTGAAAAACCCCAAAATGCCTTTGGTTTTTCTGTGTTCTTTTGGGAAGGGCCAGAGGAAATCAGCCACACACATCCATGCAGCCTCTGTGAAACAAATAATGTGTGTGTTAATAATTGATACACGGGACGTGCTGCTCCGCGCTGCCAACAGGAAGGAAGGAGATGGGGTGGGAGGCCCACAACTGGAGAGGAAGAAGCGTTGCCCAAAGCTAATGCCATCTGCAGAAAGGGTATGGCCGCGGGCTGGGAGCCAGCCATTGTCTGGGCAGATGTTTCTCCTCCAGGGCAGCCACGGTCCTCAGCTGGTGAACACCTTGGCCACATCGCCCGAGGTCCTGGCCTCCTCTTGTCTCAGAGGCCTACCAGCCACTTCAGAGAAGGAAAGAAGGCACGGCCTCTCTCCTCCATGAAAGAGAGTGGGGGCTGATGGCCACTGGGCACTTCACTCCTTCATCCCTTCGTGCCCTCACT